GAAGCGTAATTGTGATTAATTACTTGTTTTCACTGATTTTCAAGGAGGTATTGACAGCCTCGTAGTGCATTTTAAAATTACTCGAGTTTTCATTTGAGAATTTATACGCACAAAATTTAGTTTAATTTTTTTTCAGGAGGACTGTAAGCCTGAAACTTGTGTTCAAATGACTGCTACCGAACAGTGGATCTTTCTTTGTGCTGCTCATAAAAATCCGAAAGAAGTTAGTTTTCCATCTTTGATAGTATTTTTTTAAAGCGTTCACTGTAGATGGCAGACTTTGTTACAGAAAATGTTGAGTAGTTAGACTGCAAATAGCCATCTTTTCCAATTGAGAAACAACTTCGAATTCCGAACTTTCAAACTTTTCGCAGTTCTTCATTTACTATAAAATTACCGACAGATATTTCATGGTACAATGTCTTAGAAACAGCAAAATTTCGAGTTAATGCTTTCACTGTTCTTTCGCTTTTCAGTGTTCTGCTATTGACTATACTCGCCATACCCTAGATGGTGCATCAGCCCTGTTGAACAGTAATAAGTATTTTCCTAGCCGAGTAAATGTGAAAGAGTCGTCAATCGCAAAAATTGGTTCTGTTTGCCGCCGTGTTTACCGCATATTTTCACACGCATATTTCCACCACAGAGATATTTTCGATAACTTTGAGGTTTTTTTGAAGAACTCAAATACTTTTTAATAACCTACCCAGATCGTGGCCAAGAAATGCGTTAAATGGTTTAGAAAATCACTAGCTTGTTCTGCAACGGAATAGTTGCCTGCTGTAATTTTAACTTTTGCAGTAAATTCTTCCATTTTTCAGAACCGTACACACTTGTGTAAACGCTTCACTACTTTCGTAAGGAAGTATAATTTAATGGCCAACGAGCATCTTATAGTGCCCATTTTGCCAGACCAAGCTAACCAATAATAGCCCAATCACTGTAAATTGCTGGTTTCATTATACTGTTTGTTTTCCTTGTGATTTTATTTAATTATTTTTTGTAAACTCTGATGTGATGGGACATCGATCTTTTGTGCTTGCTCTATTTTGAGCAGCCAAAGTCTGTTTTTTATTTTCTTTTGATATCTTATTTAGCATAGAAAGCGACGGTTTTTGAGGTCAAGCTGATATTTGTTTCTAATGGTGTTGCATGACGTGAAACGTCGCGATGTGGCAATACAGCTCAATTTGCTTTTAATGAATGCTGAGTTTTTAAGCTGAATTAAAACGATAATTGACGAAACTGATCTGATTATGCAGATGCATATTTCTATGTCAAAAAGATTTGGAACTATTTATTTGACTTACGTCTTTTACAACACAGGATGTCTTTGTTATAATATGACGGAGTTTTATAAGTTTTTAATTGTTGAAGAACGTTTTAGTTTTATGTTTTTATTGGTGTTCAGAGATCAAGTTGTTTGATTTGCTTTAATGTCCTGCCATTTCGGGTCTTGCTATCTTTGTGGTTGGAGTGTAAATACTTTTTCTGCCACTGAGAAATTTCAAGGCCGCACTGTACATTCTACTGATTATTTATTGTTAAGTAGCTCAACGCAGTGGTCTTTTGCAGTCAGCATATTGCCGTCATCTAAGGAGTTACTGGAGCCGCATGTCATTTTGGTTACCTTTTTAGTTGTTGTTTTAGTGGTGTGATGGTTATTCTTTTTGTGTTGATGTAAATGGTTTCATTTTGTAGTAGTGTTAGTTTGTTTGAATATTCGTTGCTAAGAAAGTAACAGGTCAATTGAGCAAGAAAGTTGTGTTTTGATACTGGCATGGCTGGATGAATCGTTCCCTTTAACGAACTGTGGACCCTTTTTGAACGTAACAATTATATTTAGTCATAGAGCTGCGGATATCAGTTGAACGATGTGACTATGCCTTTTAATTTTAATTAAAC